GAGCATGCTTGTGAAATCCAAAGTGTGAACCGGGCGTACACAAGCATAAGCATAATTTTTTGTACCTTGGTCGGGAGGAAGCCTTTCTGCATTGCTCGGCAAAGGTTTTCTAGCTTCGAGTTTTTCCCTTTCAATGAAATAATTTCTTTTTCCATGTTGCCTCTCTGTTGAAATGAAAAAATCAATTCCCATATGAATCATTATATCATCAGCATCTTATTTGCCCATTCATAGCTATTAGAGTGATATTCATAAACCCGTGAAATTAATGTTAGCGTAATAATCATTAATACAAACTAGTACGAGTTATTACTCATTAGACTTTAAACAACGAAGTCATAAAATACAGTCAATAAATTTTCACCGCAATACTTAATTGCCTCACTAATAACCGCTATTACACATTAATATACGTTAATAGAAGTTAATAGCTAAATTTTGCTTCACGGATTTATGAAAATCACTCTATTGTTATCGATCGGAGTTTCCATCACCGTCATCCAACTATTCGCATCACCTTCATCATTGCTTTTAGCTATTAAAAAGCCACTATCATCATTACCACCACCACCACCACCACCACCACCATCACCACCCGACACCGACACTGTCATCATCCACACCTTATTCGTCGTCATCATCACCATCACCCACACCATCATCACCTTCGTCATCATCACCACCTTGACCATCATCAACACCTTCATCGCTTCAATCATCGGTAACATTCAACATAATGGTTCCACGTACGGTCAATTCAACTCGAATACATAGGTACAATATTCCCTTACCTCTTCCAGCATCGCCAGAAGTGACCTGTTAGTGTTCTCATATCGTGATTTTAGTGTTTTATTCTCCTTTTCTAGCTTTTTAATGGTTTTGGTCATCTGCAAGAAAGAGCTTTGTTCAGGAAACGTGTGGCGTCGTTGAAGGTGAATATTTTGTATCTTGTTTACATGAGCGATTTTTTGCGGCGATTTAAAAAAATTGAGGAATTTTCGTTTTTCCTTTACAATTGTATCATCACTCTATAATCCCATATAAGCAACTATTGTATTATTTTCAAATTCTCTTTCCGGTCCAAATTCAAGATTATTTTGGATCGTTTCCATTCGCATTCTTTCGAGGGAAAACTATGACTTATGGAATCAGTCTAGTATAGTTTGGGATGATATAATTAATCTGCAATAGGACTACATGTCTGTCCAATTTGGAAATAATTGAATTCAAAAAAATTTCTCTGACTGCCAAATTAGACTCAACCTATCGGCCTCTTCCAATTTTGTCAGTCCTTGGAATTTTTTTAATCCAATTATTTCCAAATTGGACAGCATGTAGTCCTATTACCTATGCTCATTGCGCCATTAGTGTTATTAAGGGCTTATAGACGACTTGCACTAACAGGTCACGTGACCCTATCCCCCTTAAAACTAGCAAACGAGCCAAAATGAACTCCAGAAATGAAAAGAATACCTCAATTCGAGTAAGAGGGCGAAGTTTCAGCTTGAAATGTTGACTATAGAAGAAATGACATTAAATATAAAATCAAATATTTGACAAGGATTTGTATGGGAAAAGTGTTGGCTGGTAAGCTTTTGCCATCCAGCGCATTTTCCCATACAAATCCTTATAAAACATTCAACCTTATATTTATAATGCCATTTCTCCTGTTTCGCATATTATGAGCTGAAACTGCACCTCCCTACTAATGCCGAGATGCTCTTTTTATTTCTGTTTTTTTATTTTGACAAAACTGCTCGTTGTAAGGGAGGTGACCTGTTAGTGCAAGTCGTCTATTGGCAAGGTTATTCTTTTCATTTGGTGGCTTGAAAATTCATAATTTCAAAAGGAAAAATGACACAGCTTTGCAAATTTTCTCGATTCTGATTGGCTAATGCCTTTTCTTAGATCAACTGAAAGTCAGTTTCAGGAGTTGAAGAACGCCTTGCATCAAGGGGCCGTTCAAGGGGACGCTTTCGTCYTTTTTTACAGCTCTGAAACGGCTAATTGAGGTTGTGCATTCATTACTTTACCGTTGGTATTTGTGAATATTTTCTCACTAAAATGAGGAAAATCCTGCATGTATAAATGAGCCCAATAATGTTTGAAATTCAAAAAACAAAGTTCAACTACTATACCTTGTCCATTTCTGTCTTAAATGTTTGGAACATTTCATTGCTCTTAGTCAAGGTAATCTGGAACTCATCGAAGCGTTCGGTATATAGTGCCAACTACAACATAATRCAAAAATCCGATTAATTGGTATTTGCTAGTGTTTTTACCCCTTACTTTATAAGTAAATTAATGTTTCCGACTGAAACGATAGCAAACCAATCTTGTCCCACAAACAACTACACAATATATCAGTTTTAACAGGGAGGTGGTTTTGAAGAGTACTACAAGAATTACGTGGCAATTTTCATTTATTTTCACAGGATTATTGAAAAAATAATTTACCTGAGCTTTCAGTTCTTTCTCTTGTTTGACCATGATTTCAAATCTCTTTCTGTAATCGAGAGAATCTTGAAGAAGCTGGAATAAGGTTTAAAACATGGAATTTAGTAATATATCTCTCTCGTTTGAACCGCTTTTGCTTTGATACCCTTAAATTGCAGTCCTGATGGTATGTGAGGATCAAACTATGGACCTCTTGCTTAGCAGGCAGCACACTAACCAACCAAGCCACACTTGCTCTTTAAAACAAGTGTGTGAGGTCACTGAGGATCAAACTATGGACCTCACTTGCTTAGYAGGCAGCACACTAACCAACCAAGCCACACTTGCTCTTTAAAACAAGTGTGTGAGGTCACTGAGGATCAAACTATGGACCTCTTGCTTAGCAGGCAGCACACTAACCAACCAAGCCACACTTGCTCCTTAAAACAAGTGTGTGAGGTCACTGAGGATCAAACTATGGACCTCTTGCTTAGCAGGAAGCAC